AAGAGGTTTGGAGAAGTAATCTGCCCCAGACCCAATAGCTACTAAATGGTGAAGCCAAAGTTCAGGTTCTTACCCATTATGCAATACTTTTATATGATGTTTACAACATAGAAGATACTCAGTAAACATTTTTACTTGAATGAATGAATGAACCAGTGGCGGAAATATTTATCACTTCTGTTTATAGATACAATAACACGTTACCCTAAGTAAGAATTTGAACCTTAAACAAAACTGTGTCATTTGGTGAAAATATTGCCTGTGACTTTTCTCTTGTGTATAACTAAGATGTGTGAAATCGACACCCATGTAAAATTTAACACATCTATTATGGGCAATGGTTTATGACTATAAAGAAACAGGCATTTGAATAAACAAATAACTAAATTGTCAAATCATTAAAATTTTCAATGAAAATATTTTAAATGACCCTGTGATATAATTTCTTAATCTTTTTTCTGTTTTTGCACATTAGCCAAGTTCCCTGAGGGTAATATATATTTACAATTTCTATTACATTACCTTCAGAGACGTCAGCATAGACATAAACAAAAGGGCTTACCACTACCAGCAAAGGTCCAAAATGTCCTGGCTTCTAAACTGCTCTCTTTGTTTCTAGACTTTTCCACCTGCCAATCTACTCATCTTAATCTTCCTTAGGCAATACATTCAGCTTGCTGCTCTAGTGCTCAAACACTTTCAAACACTCCCTTATCCTAGCATGTCAGATATAAAGATCTTGAGTCCAGCTCTTACAACCTTCTCCCTAATCACTTCTGTTCAGGTTAGGGAGCTCACTTCTCACAGATTTACAATGTTCATTTTCACCTCCATGCCATTATGACTGTCCCTCTGCCTAGAATGCCCACACTCCAACCTTCTGCTACCCAAATCGTTACTAAACCTAATTCAAATTCCACCTCTTCTGTGAAACTCCCCTGAACACTGTTGATTTTGATCTGTCTGAAACACTTATCTCCCAAATAACCCGTGGCTCATTCCTAATTCTTCAGGTCCCTGCTTAAATGTCACCTTATACATATGGCCTTCTCTCAGCACTCAGATGTTCATCCCCTCACACCAGCACTCCCAGACCTCTTTGCCCAATTTAGTTTTAGTTTTCCTCATAGCATTCATCATCATCTTGTATATTCTATATTTACTTGTTTATTTATTTATCATTAGCTTTCCCCTGCCCAGAATGTAAGCTCCATGAGAGCAGGGAATTTTGTGTTTTGTTACTGGTTTATCCACAGAACCAAGAATATTGCCTGGCACAAAGTAGATGCTCCATAAATACTAGCTGAAGGCATGAATGAATCTTTCTATCTTTAAAATTTAAAGGTTTAGCATATTCTATATTGTATCATTTAGCACTTAATTATAGGTAATTTAGGAATATGAATCTTTGCCTCTTTTACTGTATTCTCAAGCAAAATATGAATAACTGTTAGTATTCTTCTATATTCTCTTCTTCATTCATGCATTCTTTCATTAAATATTCATTAAATACATATTGACCTAGCACTATGGGAGGCCGAGGCGGGCGGATTGCTCAAGGTCAGGAGTTCGAAACCAGCCTGAGCAAGACCCCATCTCTACCAAAAATAGAAATAAAGTAATTGACCAACTAAAAATATATATACAAAAAATTAGCCGGGCATGGTGGCGCATGCCTGTAGTCCCAGCTACTCGGGAGGCTGAGGCAGTAGGATCGCTGAGCCCCGGAGATTGAGGTTGCTGACGCCACGGCACTCACTCTAGCCTGGGCAACAAAGTGAGACTCTGTCTCAAAAACAAAACAAAACAAAAAAAAACATATTGATATTATATGTCCTTATATGCCAAGTCCTATTTTTTTAGCAAAAACTTGAAGAACTGACAGTTATACATAAATATACACACAAAACACAGAGGGAAGAAATAATACTGGAGGAAAAAGAGTAAAAGGAGGACTAGTAAAACAAAATTGAATATTACTACGTGAGGACAGTGTGTATAGGGTGAGTGTGACAGACTGAGTGGGTAGAAGAAGGGAAAAAAAGACAGAATGGTGAGAGACTAGAGTAGGATGTTGCCAAAGTAATCACCAGATGCAAGTGCTTAATATAAACCGTACCAAAGCACATATGCAAATATATTCTACGTGAATTTTTTAAATTCACATTTCAAAAGTTATCTGCCAGCTACTGTGTGGGTGAAAATTCGATTAAGACTAGCGACATCTGGTGGATATTTTTGAAGTGATCCTTGGATTTCTCTACTATGAAAACACTATGAAAACGCCTCCCTGCTTCTGGACTGCCAATCATAATGTGTTAGGGCTCCACATTACTAAGGTTACTATCAGGAAATCATCTTTCTGCAGGACCTAGGTTATCATTGCAAGAGGTAGTCAGATTTCTACTAGGGACCTTTCTGTCTCCCAAATGATGTCTAGCTGCCTTCTGAAGGATGTATACAAAATCTGACACCATGATCCTTCTTTTACAAGGTAACTTATTACTTAAAATGTTCACATTATTTGATGTAGTCTTAAATGAGGAAATAAGTTCATTATATACAATGTGGGGGCAGAGGTGGGGGAAGCTAAAAGTCTAACAATGGAGGTCAAGAAAATTACAGCCATTATAATGTTTACCAAACGTGTACCAACAGTAAAACAAACATTTTAACAATTTCATATTAACAAATGTTAAGTGAAAAAAACAAAGTAAAAAAAATGCACACATAATATGATCTCACATAAAAAATGTACAAATAAAAAAAGACCAGAAGGATATATTCCAAAATATTAATATTAACAGTGGTTGCTTCTGGGCAGGAGAATTATGGGTTTTTTAAACCATAATTTGCAATATTTCTCAAATGCTCTGTAATTAACATTCATTTTGCTATAACAAACTTTAACTCTTATAAACAGTGCATATGTTCTAATTAATTGCTAGAATTTTTCAACCTCTGCCTGATTTTATTTTATTTTTTTTCTTGGAGCCAGTTACAATTCCCCCTTTTCTCTGCTTTTTTTAAAAATTTTTTTTATTTCGGCATATTATGGGGGTACAGATTTTAAGGTTTCAATAAATGCCCTTTCCCCCTGCCTGATTTTATTAATTCCAGAAAAAGATGATGAATCAATGCCCAAGCGAGCTAGAATTTCCACAAAAAGGAGAAGCAAAAGAAGAAAGCAAATATATTACAATTCTGTTCCAGGATCTGAGTCCTCATGGAGAAATCCCTCAGATGTTAACTGTACTGAAATTCCAGTAACGTCATCATACTTCTGTCAACAATATACCAGAAACTTACAGAGGGCTCTGTTGGCAGCAAGGAGTTACAGAATCTCATAACCACTTGGGTTCCCATCTTCAGAGTCCCTAGAAGAGCCAAATCAGGGCCACCTTAAAACAGGAAGAATAAGAAATGTGCAAAATGTACAGGACAGAAAAATAAAAAAATTCTAAAAGCTAAACCAACCTAGCTGGGGTCAGGCTCCTCTCCCAAACCTACCAACTTAAGTAGTATCCGAAATAGGACCCTAGTTAGCAGGAAATTCAGCCTAAGATATTATAAGCACAACAGGGTTATCCTAGTGGTATTGAAAGACCCAGTCACTTAGGTTTTAATAGTAATAAAGTAAAGAACAATGCTTCCCTATCCTTAGTCAAGCAAGGATGCATTTTCCCTCTCCCCTAATCTCATCAGTCAAGAACCACAAGAAGTATTGTGAAGATAATCCGGAGAAATATCAGGAGCTCTGCTTCTGGCACCTACTTCCCTTTATCCGCGGGAATTCAGTTTTAACCCAGAAAGACAGCATTTATAATTTTAAGACAGAAATTTGTATATGGCACTTGAATTTTATAAGGTGCTATCATTTACATCATCTTATTTGACCCTCACAGTAAATAACCCTTGAAATAGAGTTAATTTTCTTACCCTCGGTAATATAGAGAGAATAGGTTAGGGAGTTGCTCCGCCAATTAGAGGTGGAGGCAGTCCTTCCTAACCCACTTCTTCTAAATCTATTTGTAGTAGGCCTGTGCCAGAGAACAGGCCTGGAAAATTGTAAAAATGGTGATGATGGTGGGGTGGCAGCCAACATTTGACTACAAACTATGTACTGTTCCAAGTGCTTTAAATTCTCACAAACACTCTATGAGGTTGATACTACTATCGACTATTTTGTTGTTGTTGTTGTTCTACGATTCCATTTTCAGTACTCTACCCATCTTCGGGGAAACATCCCTTTTAGGGACCAACCGAGAGGCAGTGGCATTTGGGGAGGATAGGGTACAGGTTGAGAAAGGGAAGCACGTTACCCATCCTCTCCAAGCTCCGGAAGTCTGAAGTGGAAACTGCACACTTATCTGCGAGGCTCAGAGCGGGTTTGGACCCGGAAACTTTAGCCCCCTTCTTCCCACCCCATTCCCGCCCCCTCCGCTTGTCCCCAGTTCCGATCTGGACACTCAACCGGTGGTAACAATATTTTTCCAGTTACCCATCACTTTTCAGCACCTACCTCTGATACTATCGGTCCGTCTGGTTCGGCATCTCCGTCCCCAGTCCTTCTGAGCTCGGCCTGCCCCGGCGCCCGCGTTGCCGCTGCATTCCCGCTGCCATGGTGACGAGGAGGACGGCCCCGGGCCCGGCCCGCCTCCAGCCGGCCCTCACCTCGCCCCCTACCTTCCGCGGTCCGCCGCCTTCCAACCCAGACCCCGCCCCTGCCGTTCCAGCCCCGCCTCCTAACCGCCCAGGCCACACCCCCTGCCGGCATTGACCCCGCCCCTGCATCCCAGGCCTCCCCACGCTGGTCCAGACCCCGCCCAGGTAGCCCCGCCTTCTGCCAGTGGGAACCGGGCCCTGTTAGCCCGAACCACTTCTGTGCGGTGGGGTCGGAAGGCTTCTCTACTTGCTGGGCTTTCGAACCGCCCTTAGGCTGGACAGGACTTGCTGCAGTTACCTACAGCTCAGGCCTCTGCCCCAGAAAACACACCACGCATGTTCCTCAAGCAATTTATTGATCCTAACGGCCCCACACCCTCAAGAACCAACAGTCTCCCCAAGGGAAGTTTCCGGGCCTCTCGGTGCTGTATCAGTGACCAGTGACTGGAAGTCCTTGTAGCCAACGGTTGGAGAACGGCTTCCTCCAAGCCTTAGTCCCTGAGGCATTTGTCTGTTTAGATCTGGAACCTTTGACCCACGGAGCTGCTGAGGAAATTGCCCAAGCCATCCCTGGGGGCTGTGTGCAAAAGCTCACAATGTTTTTCCAGAGCACTTCCCCTTCAGCATTGGAGATTAAGGTGTGTAAAAAGGATACCATTAAATAAAGTCCAACAAGATCAGCCTGCGTGCTTATAGTCACCAGTTCTTCCTGCACTTTCCTAAAGAGCAGGAGCAATGGTGGGCTTAAAGACCTCCCTGCATTCCAGGAAGGAAGAAACTAGAAAAAAAAAAAAAAGACCTCCCTGCACACCTGACCTAACCTCATTTTGTGGAATTCCATCCTCCCATAGCTAACCCAACTACAACTCCAAGCTAATGGTGGCAAGTAAGAAGCCTAAAGGAGAGACTGGGGACAACCACAATTCCAGGGGCTCTGGAGTTCTTTAAACGTACATAAAATATGGCCAATATCCCTGGGTGCCACCCAATTCCCCAAAACAGTAGATTCTCCCCACAGGAGTAGTGGTAAATGATGGACTGGTCCCTCCTCCCCAAGGGTCACACTAGGGTCCCGTTCTTGCTGTCATAGCGAGGTCTGGCCTGGGGGAATCGAAGGGTCGCATACTCTGTAGCATTTTCTAAATGCAGGTGTTTCACTTCGTGGGCAGACCGTGGCTGGGTGCCCCTGCACAGTTGAATGTCTGCGTAATGTAAGCTGCTCTCCTCCAATGGGAGGCCTTGACTCCTCTCTTGTGACTTGTGCTGCTGTAACACTCGCTCATACGTATGTCGTGTTGTTTCATGGCCCTGTAAGGAATGGACAACATTAAGGGAGATTCGTGGCTGGGGTTTGCCCCTCACCTCTAATGCCGGGCCAGTTAGACTGATGTTCCCTCACTTTGCTCCTTTAGGGGGAAGAGGAGGATGGGCAGAACCAGCCAATTCTACAGATGAGTGACAGGTGTCCACATCTGTTCCAGGGCAAGAAGCTGAGTATGGGGATTCCATGTCTGAGCAGCCCCAAAGAGGAGACAGTAGCCTGTCATTACCTTTGTGCCATTCTGCTGCAGCTGTTGCTGCTGTGGCTTCAATGTCCATTTTCCTTGGCTCTCTGAGGGGAAGAAATCCAATTTAAATCCATTCTCTCTTCCCTGTCTCTACTGAGATGACCCTCTTCAAATCACTGTTAAACTATTATGGCAGGCTTCCAATTAATCTCCCTGCCTCCATTCTCACTTCTATTCCTACATCCAAACTCCTTAGCAGGATATACAACCTGGCCCTTCCACAGTCTGGACATAATATCTTCTATCTGCATTTTTCGCTTGCCCCTGACATAGTTCAATCAACATATGTTGATAGCCATTATATGCCAGCCTCTGTGCCATGTTCTGGGGGTAGAAGGATAAGCAGGCCGTTTCCTCTGCTTTGGGGAGATTGCAGCCTACTAGGGTAGACAAATAAGTAAACAGAGTATTAATGCAACGTGGAAGTGCTCAGCCACACCAATAGGCCACTTTGAGTCAAGTAAATATCTTCTCTCTCTCTCTCTCTCTCCCTCCCTCTCTCTCTCTCTCTCTCTCTCTCTCTCTCCTGAGCTGATTCCTTTGCCTAAAAACATCATTCCCCCCCTCCTCTGCTGACTTGTGAGCTTGCTGTTATTCATTTGATATCAGTGTCTTCTTTCATTCCCGCACAGCATGAGTGTACATCTATTATAGAACCAGTAGATGATATTACAAGGGAGACAGTACATCAAAAAGAATCCTTAGGCTACTGAGTTCAACACCAGTTCTGAACTTATCCCTTCCAAGTCCACTCCTCTTCTCTACTCTTAAACCCTTTACAAAGATGCCAGTTCTATTGTCTTTTCTTCTCTAATTTGCCTCTCCCAGAGTCCCTCCCCCGCAAAGTTACCTGTTTTCTTTTTCTTCTGGAAAGTTGATGGGCAGCTCCTGCAATAGGAAAAACAGATCATCCATGTGCAAGAGCCCTGGCCTCTATCTTCCCTTTTTCATCACCTGCTCTGTGGTCTTCTTAACATCCTGGGATGACCCTCCCCCACCTCCCTCTAACAAAGATTCACCCTGAGCCAGGTTTAGCCCCAAAGCATTTGTCCCAGATACCACACCTCTCCCAAATGGATGGTTCTGGAAGGTGGAGTGGTACAACTGACATAACCAAACCCAAAATACAGCCTCAGGCAACCAGGACTACGTGCCAGGGATATAGCTGGCTTGAGGGCTATTCTGAGATTGTCTAGCATGCTAATCCCAGCAGAGGGTAAGGGAAACATGCCAAATAAGGGGATATTCCTGGATCCAGAGACCCTCTTGCTGCTTCTTCAGTGCTTTTTTTTTTTTCTGGGGTCTTTGCCAACCTGGAACTTTCATTCTGAGAGTCACAGAAGCTGCACAATCAAGGCTCACTAGTTTAGGGCCCCTCAAAGCCCTTTCCTAACAAGTGACCTCTCTCCCTGTTTCCTTGTCCTTGTTTTTAATTAAAAGGGAAAGTGAGAGATGTTTAACCTTTAAAATCCTTTGGAGAACTTTGTCTGCAGAGCAGGGAGCGCTGAATTTGGTGAGTGACTCAGCTATCCTGCCCACACTGCAGGACATACCTTATATATTCATTTCTGAGCCCTTGGGGTCCCCGCTGGAGCCTGTCTGTCTACGTGATTGTCATCTGTTTGATGCCCAGAGAAACAACACTTGTCTGGGGAAATAAGCTGAATAGTTTGGGGCTTACTCTGGATGCTTTTTCTTGTATATTTCCAACTCTTACCAGAGCCAACCCTATTCGTCCGTTTGACTTCTCCTTTCCCTGGGGAAGTTTCCTTCTTTTGCTTTTATTAAAGAAAGAAAGAAAAAGAGGAACTCAGTTCTAAATTTTGTTGACTATATTACTGTAGGAAAAAAATCAAAAATTTCCACACACATTTGACAGACGTTTGTGTTTTGGCGTGCTTTTTGGTTTTGATGCAGCTTGCTGAATTGAGAGCAGTTGAGTCTCCACCCAAACTCAACAGGTAGTTCAGAAGAAAAACTACTGTTTTTCTACTTCCTCTCCTGCCACTTCAGCTCTTGCTTTACATTGCTACTGCTAAACCTTATCCTATTATAGGAACTAGAGAATCTTCTAATTCCTTGCCCCTTGTCTCTACTGTTTTCCTACTTATTTCTATTTAAAGGGATAGGGAAAATATTAATTCTAAAATACATAGACTAGGGCCATCCAATGTTAGTGAACAGAGCCTGTTCCCCAGTTGGATATTGCACAATGCCTGGACATAACCCAAATAGAATATTCAGTTAGATTTATAAGTGACGGGATTTTATTTTTAGATCAGAATTAAGAAAACTAAATGGGCACTCTCCTACAGTGGTAGTAGAAATAAAAATTTGTGTAATCCTTCTAGAATGCAGTTGGCAATAAGTATAAAAAGCCTTAAACATAAATGCATATATCTTCTGATGTAGCAATTCCATATCCTAAGAAATAATTATACATGTCCAAATGTGAATATTCATTGTAGCATTATTTATTATTGCAAAAAATAGGAAATATCCCGAATGTCCAACATTTGGTAACTGACTAAATAAATGACATATCCAATTAATTGAAAACTATGTAGCCACTTAATAAAGGATATTGGAAGAATACCTAACAGCATGGAAAAATTTACTCTTTATCAACTTGGTAAAAAGATGATAAGATATGTTTTGGGATAAAAACTGTGCATATTTGAAAAAGATATGAAAATACACTAAAATCTTCCTGTCACTTCTGGGTGCTTACATGTATGGTTCTTATTTTTTGCCCTTTGGTATTTTCCAAATTTTCTACAGTGAATGTTTATTACTTTTGTAATCAGAAAAAACAACAAAGAATATTTTAAAATAAAAATCTCTTCAATGGTCATAATATCTTTAAGTCTCTGAAGATTTACTGAGATAACAAAAAATAGAGGAGAACAATTTTATCTAGTCTTATTCATATTTTTTAAGAGGACAAAATAGATTTTGGTTAGAATGTCTGGCATAGTGTCTCTAGAATAGGCCCCAGAGTCAGATTGATGATATCAGACTAGCTGTGAAGACTTCAGCAAGTTTTTAACCTCTCTGGGCCTCTGTTTTCTTATTAATAAGATGAGGATGATAATAGAATCCAAATCTCATGGTTTTAATCAGTAATCATGGGATTACTGTAAGGATTTTAAAAAAATAGTAAATGTAAGATATTTAGCATGGCTCCTAGCATATAATGAGCATCAGTAAAAGTTGACTGTTAGTGACTATTCCTATCAGAGAACTGACCAGTAATGAAGAAAGAATACAAACACTTGGGACAAAAGGGAGTCAAAGAAACTGTTACATCCCCTTCTTTATAAGCTTTTCTAGATGTTCTATGTCTGTAGAACATCTCAAAGTTTAAAGGGTGCTTTATTTGTTTTTTCAATCCTGACAACATTCTGGGAAACATATTTTTGTTCTCATTTTACATATGAATTCAACTAAGGCCATAGAACTGGTATCTTACTCAAGAAGGTAGGGACCAAATTTCCTTTTATTACTGTCTTCTGTGTCTATCACTATGCCTGGTACATAGTATATGTTCAATAAATATCTGTTTAAGAAATGAATGGATAAATGAATTAGTAGTAGGGATAGGCCTTGAATCCAATGTACTGACTCCAAAACCTGTGTGCTTTCCAATGTACCCAATTTGTCTCTCTAAATATAACGATGCTTTATTTATATATAAATAAGACATCCCCAAGATCTGACTCAGGCATGGAATGATGCAGCTAAGAAGGCAGTAGACAAGATAAAGCCAGGTCCAAGAGTTTATGGCAGTGATGAAAATTCTGAGAAAGAATAGTAATAATACCATAGGTAATTTCTTATGAGTTTTTCACATATAGTATACCCTTGCTCTTCAAAGCAGACCTATCATCTAAATAATGGGGGTATATTATCTTTATTTTTACATGCAAAGATATAGAGATATTAAGGGACTTGTCTAAGGTCACATAGCAAATAAGTGTGAAAGGTATATTCAGATATTTCACAGATATTCTCCTTCTTCCTATTTCTGCCCCTTTTTTTTTCTTTTTGAGACACAGTCTCACTTTGTTGCCTAGGCTAGAGTGAGTGCCGTGGCATCAGCCTAGCTCACAGCAACCTCAATCTTCTGGGCTCAAGCGATCCTACTGCCTCAGCCTCCCGCGTAGCTGGGACTACAGGCATGCACCACCATGCTCGGCTAATTTTTTTCTATATATTTTTAGTTGGCCAATTAATTTCTTTCTATTTTTAGTAGAGATGGGATCTGGCTCAGGCTGGTTTCTAACTCCTGACCTCAAGCAATCTGCCCACCTCGGCCTCCCAGAGTGCTAGGATTTCGGGCATGAGCCACCACGCCTAGCCTATTTCTGCCCTTTTAAATAAACATTTCTCCCAAGTTCATTTGCTCAGTCTGGGAGGCAGTATTATGTAGTGGTTAAAAGTGTGGGCTCTGAAGTCAGGCAGGCGTGGGTTGGAATCTTGGTTTTCTTGCTTTCTAGCCTGTGTCCCTGGGCAAATTAGTTAACTTCTCTGATCCTCAGCTTCTCAGCTGGATGTAAAATGAGAGAAGGGGTAAGGCTATTTATCTCACAGAGGCGTTGGGAAAATTAAATGAGATTGTGAAGTGTCTGGCACATAGAAAACTCTCGAACGATACAATTATTAGCATCTGGGGGAGGGAAAGAAGAGAAGGACACAGAGATACAATGCCAATTCACCATTCCAGCCCTGCCCTGGCCATTCTCCAGACAACTGGCTTGTCTCCGTTTTCTTGTCTCCTGAAAGGAGTTAAGCATGGACGGAGGTGCTGCTCTGGTGTTGGAACCAGGAGGAACCAGGCAAAAGCAGGTGGCAGTGGGAAGCTGGCAGACAACTGTCGCCAGGCTCCCGATTCTCAGGGCCTCCACGTTCACCAACAGAGATGTTACCCTCTGCCCTTAAGCCCCACTCACCAGCTTCCTCCACAGCAGAACCCGTTCCCCATGGCGCTCTGTCTCAGAGGGAGCACAGCTGTTTTCCTACAGCAACAGGGTTGTGCATTTCCTGGTTCCCGGTTTAGCTTTCTGTGGCAGCTCCCGGGAGCCTCTGTGAGTGTCAGATTTCAACCTAGCAGGTTGGACTTTGGAAGCCACCTGCTGGAATGATTCCCAGGTGACTTTTGCCAGCCAAAGGGTAGAACAATACATAGGGATTCCAGGTGAGAGGTATCTCACCTACGGGATTTGAAGCTTCTTTTGATGAAGCCATGAACTTGAGTTTCAACCTTCAATAAAAAGAAACCTGAGATAGAAAAGGGCTCTGGGTTTCTTTAGGAAATGTGTCTCCACTACATCACACTATCTTTGAAATATATCCTCTATAATGGACTAGCATCTTACCTTATGTTTGCCCAGCACCACTCAGGTTTAATTGAGTTTCACTTTCAAGGTAATTGGTACCAATTTTTTATTATCCCTGTCCAGAATCTGGGTTTGGTTACTGGAGTCTCTTAGAACCTTAAATTTAGGGAAATGGATTCCTTGCATATTCTCCCTTGCCTTTTTTTTTTTTTTTTTTTTTTTGAGACAGAGTCTCGCTTTCTTGCCTAGGCTAGAGTGAGTGCCGTGGTGTCAGCCTAGCTCACAGCAACCTCAAACTCCTGGGCTCAAGCGATCCTCCTGCCTCAGACTCCCGAGTAGCTGGGACTACAGGCACGAGCCACCATGCCCGGCTGATTTTTTTTATATTATATATATTAGTTGGCCAATTAATTTCTTTCTATTTTTATGGTAGAGACGGGGTCTCGCTCAGGCTGGTTTTGAACTCCTGACCTTGAGCAATCCGCCCGCCTCAGCCTCCCAGAGTGCTAGGATTACAGGCGTGAGCCACCGCGCCCGGCCTCCCTTGCCTTTTGAAATTAATGTGGGCAGATCACTCAACCTTTTACAGCTTAAGTTTCTAAGACTGTGAAATCGAAGAACTGAACATGACATCTAATTCCCTTTTTGGCGTAAAATCAGATGACTCTGATTGGAATGGCCTCAGCGCTTAGCCATTCACTTCCCCATCCCCAGTTCAGAACTACAGAATCTGAACTTACCTCACAACTTACCCCTCAATTCAGCTTCTCCTTCCAATGACCCAAAGTTAGACTCACTCCAACTCACCAGTAAGTAGGATGCAGCTGAGCAAATTCAACTATAGGAAATATGGATCCTATGAAAATTTGTGAAATGCATAATCCTTGTCTTCAGTTCTCTCGTCCCATCTTTAGTGTCTTCCTCTGATGCTTGTTTATTTGTGTGTCCCTGATGGATGTGTGGGGCTCACTGCTCAGCCCTGCACTCCAGAGTACCCTGGACTTTGAACTCCTCCCCATCATCTTGTGGAAAATGAGGATAAGAGTGACAAACCTTGCAGGATTATGGTGATGATTAAATGAGATATATGTATGTGAAGCTCTGGTCCAGAGCCTGGCGCATGGAAAGCTCTCAGTACATCTTAGCTATTGTTATTATTATTTCTGTTCTGAGGTAATTATCAGATGGCACAAAGCATCTTGTTTTATCTTGTGTCCCAATCATTGCGCTATTTCAGGGCCATGCCTCTCCCCTACAAACCATTCTGTACTCTATCATTAACTGTTTCCTTTTTGTCCTGTTACCCACCCACCCCCAAACCAGCTCAAAAGCTATTAGTGATTTCTTCTTGTTATCTGTAGGATAGAGTTCAAACTTCTCAGCCTGGCACCCAAAACCCTTCACAGTCTGGTTTCTTTTTAGCCATATGATCTGTAATTTTTTAAAAAAGCACCTAAAAGATTCTTAGATGACCAGCAACTCCAAAGAAACCAAACCAATAGTGCATTGTGGGAACCCCTTAAGTAGTATTAATAGATGTCTAGAATGATAAACAAGGGTATTGATTATTTCATTGAAGTCTGTACTAGTCAGTCCATGACTGGAATAATAATTTTAGGTCTAGGTGTTGAATTTCAAGTTACATTGCCAAAAGGCAGTATGTTCAAAAGAAAGTTGTCTGCATAATAAGAGAAGTGGAAAGTATAAGATACAGTTAAAAGAACTAGGCATGTTTAGCTGGGAAAGGGAAGCTTTAGGAGGACAGGATAGTTATCTTTAAATATCTGAAGGACTTTTAAGTGAAAGGAGGATTGCATTTGTTTTCTGGACATAACCAGAACCAATGGGAAGAACTCACTGAAATAAAGATTTTGATTCAACAAAAGGAAGAAGTTATAACAGTTATGTCCAAAAAGAAAATGGAGTGGGCTACTTTACAAAATTCTAAGTTCTCTGTCATTCAAAATGCCCCAGAAGAAGGTTCCTGACAACTTTAAAAGAATTTTAATGGGTGGGGATTTGGACTAAATCAGAGGCTCTCAAATTTTTTCTAGCTGAGAAATCCTTCTTTTAAATGAAGCTCAGTTACAAACAGATCAATGTCAAGCTGTTCCAGTTGAAGTGTAGAGAATCGTTTTATTTTTTTCTTATCGATTAGATGTTAAGATTCCTGAGATGTAGAGAATCATTTTATTTTGAGTAGAATCGTTCTATTTTTTTCTTCTCAACTAGATTTTTAAAGTCCTGAAAGTAGACAATCAAACCCATAGTTTTTATAATGTGTGTTTACAGTGTATATTCCCCATGGTGTATTGCTTGGGGTTTGATAAATATTTATTGAGTGAATGAACACTTGAATATATCAATAGTTATTTCTCTGAGGTGTGCTTTCATTTTTAATAGATGGCAATCCTTTAACCAAAGATTGAATTCCTCAAGTGAGGGTTATTATCCTGGTGTCCACAGATCCCTAAGAGGGGTATATGAATGCATCTCAAGAGTTGTGGAACCTATTCAAATTGTATTGCCAAATTTGGGAGCATGTATATTTTTCTGGTAAGCATCTATCTCTCTTGTTGAATTTTCTGATGGATCTGTAACCCTAACAAAGTTAAGAAACAACCACTTTAATGGAAGAATTTTAGGTGTCCACCACAGCCTGGTAAAAAAAATATATTTGGGGGCAGGGAAGTCTTCTGGATGTTCCCCAAATCATACATATGCATGCTGTCTTGACTGCAGAGAGTAATTGAGGGGACAGGCTCTCAGGCTTTCCTGAATGTATCACACCCCCAGAGGATGGGAGGTAATGGGGTTCAGTGAGTATGGTAGTGGCTTCTATGTCTATGCCCCTGTGTATGCATACTCAGTCCTGCAAAATCAGTGACCATTTCAGTGGACAGGCCTTAGTATGAGGAAACAAAGTATTCACTCCAGGGCTTTAGACAACTCTCTCCAGCCAAAAACCATTTTCCCAACCCCTACCCAAAAAGGGCCAGACAGTCTGGAGACCCTTGTTTTTGTGTCTCTAATCACCAGCTCAGACAGTGCCCTCTGGGCTGTTTGGATGGCATATCCCTTTTCCCTCCCAGGATCACTCTCTCTTTTGTTGCATTGTGAGAAAATTATGGCTAGGAATTTGATCAGGAGCCAGCATCAGCTTCCGGGTGTGATCTCAGCATCCAAGTGCGAGCTCAGGGTGCTGTGACGTTGTGCACATCTAACTGAGGAGCTTTCTGTCTAGCTGGCTGTGACCTCCTCCCTCCCTGCCCATCCCATCCTCCCGGCCACAGAATAGGGAGCAGAACAAACAAGGCCCTGAGACTTGGGTTTATTCACCTCCACCCAAAACTAAACCAAAGGCTATGACACGTCCCTTGGGACCAAACCATACATTGTGGACCATGCCCCCTTCCCTTCCTCCAAGGCTGCTGCTGCCTCTGGAGTGGTGGGCAGCTGCCCATAGCAAAATGGGAGGTAGAAAGGGATTTGCTGGGTGCTGGGTCTGTGGCCATCAAGCCTCAACTCTGGCTGCTGCCTCCTCCTCTTCCTCTGGATCAGGAGGTGGAGGGAGCAGGGAGATGTAGACCTCATTGACCTCTGTGTCCAAATGTCGGCCACCCCGAGGCGCCTCCAGGTTAAGGATGCCATCGTGGGAGAGGGCAGCTCGGACTCGCCAGGGGTCGACATCAGCAGGCAGGACATAGGTGCGGCAGAACTCCCGGGATACGAAGCCATGGCGGTCCAGGCGCTGGGGGTGTCGGGCAGACACCTCCAGCAGGTTGTCCACAGTCCTCACGGTCACCTCATCAGGGGTAAAGTGGCTCACATCCAGAAATGCCTGGAACTTGCCCTCGCTGAGCCTAAGCTCAGAGGCCCCTGCCCTGCTGCCCTCCCCGGCTCGGGCGGCCCGAGGCCGGACATAGTAGCCGTGGTAGAGCGTGGGGGTCAGGATCTCTTCTGGCAGGAGGCCTGAGGGGCAGAGACAAGGCAAGAGGCAGGATGAGGGAGGATGAGGTGGGCCCAGGGTGACAGGAGAGGAAATGGGGAAGCGGGGAGGGGGACACAGCCAGGAGGAGCGGGAGAAGGAAGCCGGGAAGGGGACTGAGAAAGGAAGTGAGATGGTCGAAGAAAAAAGCAAACCACACGGGGACTGGACTGGTAGAGGGGAACAAGAAGGCACACCGCGGCAGGCAAGCTGCAGGTGCCAGAGCGCGGCAGGCTCCGCGTCTGCCCTGAGGTCAGTAGGAAGGGGAAAGAGCCCCGCTTGGAGGGGTTGCGGGGGACTCTCGGGTGGGGGATGGCTCGCCCCAGGATATCAGTTAAGCCCGAAGTGGGGTGGACGCCAGAAATGTTGGGAGGTCAGCCCAGAATTTCAGGAGGTGGGGGGAGAGGCAAGGGGGTGGCGTCTGTGCGGTACCTTCTCCGAAGCGCTGCTCACCCAGGCGGCTCGGGTTGGCAAATTCGTACTCGGTGGTGGCCGGGTGGGCATGTGGCACCGAGCGGCCCGACATGGCTGCAGACGCGGCCGCGGTCCTGGCCGGAGGTGCAGCCCCAAGAGGCGCAGCGGGACCCCTCCAGCTGCCCAGAGAGCCAGGGCTCGGTCGGAGGTGGGGGCGGGGTCTACACCACCCAAAATAGTGCCGAGCCTCTGGGGGGAGGGGCGGGGAGTGGGGGCGCTGAGTGTGAGCGGGGAGGGTGTGACCAGCGCCGCCTGGACCCCCAGTCCCCTCCCTGCACACCCTTCAGCTGTCGCAGGGGGCCTTAGGGACAGCTGCAGGTCCTGGCTGGGGAGCGAGCTGGGCAGGGGAGCTGCTGCCCGAGGTCGAAAGGGAGCCTAGCTGAGACCCTCGCTAACAGTTTGCACATTTCCACACCACCATTTCTCCTCCCAAGTCGCAGGCACGATGCCCCCTACTTCATAAAGCACTCCTGGATTTCATGTTCTGCGAGCCACATAGGATGAAAGATGCAAAACGAACAAACAAACCCTTTCTGTCCTTTTGCGGGGACTAGGGTCTTTCTGCCCAGATTAATGTCAGGGTCCTCTCCTGAACTCCGGTCAACCCAGGGCACCACGAAGATGGCTGCTGCTGACATGTTGACGGTCACTGCTCTCCTCCAGGGACCCACAAACAGTTAATGTCCCTGGGGCCCAGCCTAGGAATATTCCAGTCACTGCCCAGGCCCAAGATAGCTGCTGGCCAGATTTCCGTGGCATGCAAGACTGAAGAGGAGGAAAAAGGGCACACCATCCGCCTGCTTGGGATTCCTGACTCTGTTCCAGCTTCAGAGAACGGGGGTGGGGGTGGGTGCATTGGGTGTGGACAGAAAGCAAGTGAAACAAGACCATGACAAGTCACTGGCCAGCTCAGACGTGTTTGTGTTTCTCTTTTCTTAGCTCAGTGAGTACTGGGTATGTGTCACACTGCCAAATCCCCGATCACAAGTCTCCATGAACCGGCGGTGAGCCGGGATAATAAAACCCCTGACATCACCATTCCAGAAGCTTCACAAGACTGCATATATAAGGGGCTGGCGGTAGCTGCGGCTGAAGGAGCTGACCAGCCAGCTGACCCCCAACACTCACCTAGCCACCATGGACATCGCCATCCACCACCCCTGGATTCGCCGCCCCTTCTTTCCTTTCCACTCCCCCAGCCGCCTCTTTGACCAGTTCTTTGGAGAGCACCTGTTGGAGTCTGATCTCTTCCCGACTTCTACTTCCCTGAGCCCCTTCTACCTTCGGCTGCCCTCATTCCTGCGGGGACCCAGCTGGATTGACACTGGACTGTCAGAGGTGAGTCTCCCCTCTGCCAAGACAGGAGAGTCCTTGCTAGAACTTCCTGGGAACTTCTCCATCTGTTTTCGTTTCCTTCTCTACCTAAGGCATTTTAGGCACATGTGTGTCCATAAGTGAAGAAAAATGAGGTTACTGGTGCCTCCCTCCCCCAGTTACCTGTTTCTATTTGATGGTCCTCTGCATCCTATTTATTATATTTTTTCATGTGCTATGACTATGACATCCTCAGTCCCCTAACTTATGAGCAGGATACCCTTTACTGGTTTGGTTCGTAATAATCTGCAGGGAAGGAGCTGCATTCAGACTCCTTTGCTCACCTCTTCTAATATTTCCTACTCCTGATAAATTTTATCATCTCAAGTTTCAGAGCCAGAAGAGAATCCTACCTCATACTGAGCTTGTCATCCCCACTGGGTGGAGCTGGAGACAACAACCACTATTTTCTTCCTTTCTTTTGCCTCTTCTATAATTTCCCGGGTTCCTCAGGGCTGTGATCAGGAACTGGCCTGGGACTAAGCCTTATGAGGAAAGAATATAGATCTGGTCTTGGGACCCCTCTTATCCTAAGAGGGTGGGAGAATGGGGTAAACAGATAAGGTTGACAGAAGCTGTCACAGATAACATTCTGAATTAAAAATATTCAAGTATGAGTAAACAGGAGCTGACCAGGCAAGGGCTTTTGGAAGGACAAGCAGGACCAGCATAACATTCCACATTGGGTGGGTGGAAAATATGGCAGCGATCTGAGCAAGAAGAAGGGGCCTTTGTCTCACAGACAAATGACAAAGCCAGGCATTGGGATTAGAGAGGCAGCAGAAGCCATACCCAGACCCATCCTTACAATTGGCCCCCTGGGTGATCTATCTTCTTCTCTTCCCTGTAAATAAAGTTTGGGCCTTGGGTACCACTGTGGTAGCTCCCTTGAACCAAAGAGCCATGCTTCTTCAAAAAGGGATTTTTAGCAGAAAAGAGGAGAATAAATTACCTGGACAGAGAGCAAGTCTGCAGAATGATGAAACTGCACCAGAGTAATAGATTTTCCTACCATTTTTCCTCCCACCCCACTCCTTCACCTTGTTAATTCTAGATGCGCGTGGACAAGGACAGGTTCTCTGTCAACCTGGATGTGAAGCACTTCTCCCCAGAGGAACTCAAAGTCAAGGTGCTGGGAGATGTGATTGAAGTGCATGGCAAACATGAAGAGCGCCAGGTACATAGCTTAATTTTTTCTCTGATCTTTCATTCAGTGCATACTATAATACACAGGTACTATTATCAGCCTCCAAGACTGGCAACATTCCAGTCCCAAGCCATAAGGGTCTGTATCAGGGCTTACAAATCAATAGCTAGAAGATTATATTAGGGATAGACAATAGAACTGTTGTGGTTGTTATTGTTGTTATGGCCAGAGAAGTGGCCTTTGTTGTTTGTCTTGATTTGATTGCCTTAGATGGGATGGATGGGATATTCATTCTATTTAAGCCAGTGTTTTTCAACTTGGCCACATTAGAATCATTGGGAGAATTCTCAAAAATCCCAATGCTCAGGCATACCCCAGAACAATTAAATAAGAATATTTAAGGGCTAGTTCCAGACATCAGAATTTTTTTAAAGTTCCCTAGGTAATTCTAATCTACAGTTAAGGTTGGAGACCACTGATTTAGGCATACTGTTGCCAGACACCTGGTTGCTGTACATAATTACATTAACTACATAGACCCTCAAGGCACTTGAGTTTGTGACTTTTCTTTTAGATGTCCAGGAATCCACTTCCCCTCTTTAGCCCATCTTAATGCTGAGCTGCATGATTTGCCCAAGTTTCAGACCCTGTATTCAGCTCTAATACCCTTTAGCCCATGTGGAAATAAGTTAATTGAGAGCCTGTTTGGATAAATGCTTGAGATTCAGCAGGCGTAAGGGTCAACTACTATTTGGGGAATTCTGATGAATGGAACAGCTTCTCATGACTGGGAGAGCTTTACAATTGCTTCTCACCAGTTAGAATAACTCAGAACCTGTGTAGTAGGACAACTAATACAGTGTGTCCTCAGAAATGTCCTTAGGCTGTTTGAGTTTTGCTCATATGATTTAAACTTGGATCTCCCTGGATGAAATCACTTTTTTTTTTAAAGCAGTAGTCCTATTAGTCTAGAACATTCTGGGACAGTCCTGAAGAGTCAGGACAATTTCTGGGCTTCCTTAAGGGACTCAGATCCTCAATGGCAGGATGAGATTCCAAATCCTACAGGCCCAGCCAACATCGATCTAAACTTTTGGGGAGGCCGGGCGCGGTGGCTCACGCCTGTAATCCTAGCACTTTGGGAGGCCGAGGCGGGCGGATTGCTCAAGGTCAGAAGTTCGAAACCAGCCTGAGCGAGACCCCGTCTCTACCAAAAATAGAAATAAATTAATTGACCAACTAAAAATATATATACAAAAAATTAGCCGGGCATGGTGGCTCATGCCTGTAGTCCCAGCTACTCGGGAGGCTGAGGCAGTAGGATTGCTTGAGCCCAGGAGTTTGAGGTTGCTATGAGCTAGGCTGATGCCACCACACTCACTCTAGCCTGGGAAACAAAGTGAGACTTTGTCTCAAAAAAAAAAAAAAAAAAGAAGTAAATTAAGGAGAAAAAGTAGGCTAAACGCCTGGCAGAGTTCACGGAATATCAGTTCCTCTCTGTCCTCTTTGATTTTAGTCCTCAGTTTCAACAACTGGTACAAATCTGAATGAACTCTGTATAACACCATGTAAAAGGTCTTACTACAGCTCTGAAATTAATTACGTCATCAGGGAAGACATGGCGACTCTAATGTTATTTGACTTTTTGTTTGTTTGTTTGACACAGGGTCTCACTCTGTCACCTAGGCTAGAGTGAGGTGGTGTCACCATAGCTCACTGCAGCCTGGAATTCCTGGGCTTAAGGGATCCTCTGCCTCAGCCTCCCAAGTGTCTGGTACTTCAGGCATATGCCACCGCGCCTGCATAATTTTTCTATTTTTTGTAGAGACAGGGTCATGCTGTTGCTCAGGTTGGTCTTAAACTCAAGTGATCCTCCTGCCTCAGCCTCCCAAAGTGCTGGGATTACAGGTATGAGCTACCATTCCTGGCATATTTGACATTTTTCTACTGATAAGCAGTGACTTCAGCTGATTCACTAGGGCAATAAATAGGACTCAGGTGACTAGCACCAAACAAGCCTCTGGGGTATAGAATCTAAGTTATTCAGCAAACACTTATTAAACTAAGATTGGAAATATCCAATTCAAAAAAGTTAGGTTTTAGAATTATAGTTAATAACTGATCAATAAGTGATTCTATTATTTAGCTTAAACAAAGCTTAGCTTAATAGTCTACCAAAAAAAATAATAATACCCCCCATTTCACTTCTGTGGGGTGGTTCTGGACAAATTCATTCTAATTTACGGAATGAAAAATTGCCCTGTTGTAGGTTATCTGGTATAAATGTTTAGAGACAACTCTTATTTTTCTTTCAAGGCTTCTGGCTAATTTCTTATTTCTTGTAAAATCTGACTATAAGGTAAAGTGAGATTCTTGCCTTCACAAAGCCTATAGTTTGGGGACTGACCAAACTTTTGAAATATTCTACATGAAACAGTTGCCCAAATTTTTCCTGATGCAGGGGTGTGGAGCTAGGACAATATAAATTGCAAATCTATACAGGTTCAAAATGCTTTCCCTTTGAAAATAGTTCCTTAATAGTCTGGAATGCTGTGATCTAGCCAGAAGTCATTTTTTTCCAACCTTAAAATCAATTTCTGTGACTGTGTAGCACTGTTGGCTACTTAACCAACCACTATTTACCACCCTCAGTCTTGCCAGTA